CTTATTTTTTTTTTTTTACTTAATACCAATTAGCTCTTGGAAGCTAGAAGGGTTCTGTTAAAAACTAGTGGATAATTGGTAGGTAAAGTACAGTAGATACTTTTTGCCTGGCACATTTGACCTCGGCTAGGCCGAAAGAAAAGATTCGCAATTTATTTCCTGTTGTTTTACACTATTACAATGAACCTATGCATTATTGTGCTACAAAATTTGCAGCAGATTTCACTAGTAAGATTCTACCTTGTTGGCTTAAGGTTTTACTTTAAAACCGCGAAAATAATTAAGACTCTTTTCGCAGATTTGTCGTAAATCTCTCTTTTCACCTAATGGCTTCTTAATGGAAATGGGTAAACTTGAATTATTTCCAATTAATTATTACGTAATTGTAAAGTATTTTCAAAATTAACGAGTAGGACTAAATTCTCCAGCTTGGTAGACCAACAGGTAGCACGCCCTCTTCATCAACGGACCAGATCAGTCTAGAACGTTCTTCTGGTCCCCTCAAAGTTGATGGCTGGACCAAAAGCGAAAGAGACAATATTGGTGACTAAATTTTGTTTATCTATACACGTGCTTGTTATCAGTATTGTTAGATAAATCTACTAGTTCCAAGAAAATTTTTATGAATTCAGATTATTTAAGGACACAGAAAATCAGTTAGATTTATATCAATAAACAATTCATCGACTCATGAAATCTAAATTGTTTCATAGAGAAGGTTTAACTTGTAACCATATTTGAGCTTCAATTACGAAAAAAGTCGGAAAAAAACGACGTTGTGCTCTTGAACTGTTGCTAACCTTCTGATAAGAGTAACGATGAAATTATTTAGGACAAAAAGGTCTAGCGACATGTGAATACGCATGCATATTAAATTACAACGGAAGCGATTTGTCAGAGATTCAGTTGATTTGTACAAACCGATTGGAATAATTTGCTTTCAAACAACCATCTGCAAAATGTTTTTGTTTTCTATGATCCTATATTGGCCACTTGAGAGCCCAAAGCTAACAGTTAGAAACAGTTAACAATAAATAATCCCACCCTATTGTTGCTTCATGAAAAAAAGCGCACATACACCCACCTAAAACAACGTAATGCATACAAAATAAATTTCTGCGTTTCGTCTATTCAAAGATTGTCAACTTCTGTTCTTCCATGGCCAGCGAACCCTCACAGATCACTTTATTTGATATAATATATTAAACCTAACCTGGAATAAAGTTGTGGCACTACAAGTGTCTGAATAATCGGTTTAAGTACATAAAAAAATCGGCTCTCTTTGTCAGACAGAAGAAAAGGCACACTTGCCCCCAGTTTACCAAATATGGCCAGCTACCCCAGTTTCTCTCTTTTCGGGACGAGGGGTAAACATCGATCCGCCAATGGGGCCGAAACGTTTATTAACTCAACTTCCATGTTAGTTAGGCACTAGGGACGCACCCGACAAAAATTCTAAACTATTTAAAATTATTCACGACTTGACGGCCAATTGTATCGTCTGAGCATGTGTGTGATTCATCATATGTGGAATTCTATTAGAGCTAGAGAGAGGCAACCTCAACGAAAAGAAGAAGCTGATAATAAAACGTTAAAGCTTTGTTGTTCATTGCGCTTATATGTTGAAAGAATAGTATATAGCTTTATGTAAATGGATCATCTTAAAGGATATGGTGTAATTTCGCTAAGAAAGCATTTAATAGTGTTAGGCTTCTCTAACGTTAAATTCAGTTTGGAATAATTGTTGTATTCTTGAGACATTTCAATGATATTTTAAGGAGTCTTAATAAGAAAGTAGGACGATAGCAAATTATATGATTGAGCGTTACGCAATATTCCCCGGTATTAAAAAAGGTCCGTTAACTTTCGGTATGTTGAAGTATGCAGCGTGTCGGCATGTAGTGTTAAAACATAGCAAGGTTAGACTCTATTACTGTCTGGCTAATAATACATTTATTAAACCTTAGGTTCACCAATTAAGTGCTAAAGAATATACCAGCTCTATATTTCTACAGTTTTGTACCAATCATAGAAAAAATGTTTCCTAATCGAAATTGATCAAAACGAAAAACATCAGACATTACATTTCTGAGAAAGTAATTCATAACTGCCAAGTGGCATGAAATTCGAAAATTCGAAAATTCCAGCGACGTCCTCCAATGGAACCCGCAAGCACACAACAACTGTAGCAGTGGGTTATCACGAAACATTAGTGTGTTTCACTGATCTGCTCGCTCTTTACTGGAGCACATTTATAAAAAAAAGTCAGATAGAATTTTTACGGTGGAAAGAAGGTACGGATTCTTATCTCAATTTTACGTTTAGACAGATTCGCTTGTTTCATATAACGTTATAGTAGTACAAAATTTTTTTCATAATATTGCAATAAATCAGGAATAAGGCCTTATTGATATGGAGCTACTCAACTGCTTTATTTTGGCAACAAATTCCAATTTGTACGAAATACTTTCTTCAATTCTACCATTATAATTTAGTGCGCGCTAGACTTACGTATCCATATCGTAACGTGAAGGATCTTCACTCGTGCATAGCTATATATTAACTTCAGTGCTTTTATTATACTTGGAGGGCAACCCTTTAAACACTCCCATTCAACAGCAGCCACAACGGTGCCCCGCGAATACTTAAGATTTTGACTAAGTCCTCTCGTCATTCGCTTGAGGTGATTAAAAGAAAATTTCTTGGCAGGTCTTTAAACACCCCCCTGATTGTTCTATATTTATTGACTATTTTCAAATTAATATACATACATTCAGCATCTTTATTTAGACATGCACTTCAGAGATACTTCAAAAATGTTCCTTCCTTTTTTTAATTCCCTTCTGTCCTTTTTTATTTATTCAAAATTAAAATAATATCCAACTCTATCCAAATAGAAACCAATGGCAGAGTATTATAGGAACCCATTTTCTAGAATACGTAAGAGCAAAGCCAAACAAGCATAGAGAAGTACCCTGTGTCAGTGCCAGCAACGAGTTTAGGGGCTCTTTCGTCCTCCGCTCTTTCGTCCCCTCGAACTGGAAGAATTCCACAAGGACGAATAACAAGGTTGATATGACCCTGCCGGCATTCCACTGTCAGTGCCCAGGAGTGGGGGAGGGGCGGGTTCATCCTCTCGCCCCTACCAGACCCCAGAGAAGGGGATAAACAAGAGGCGCTCGGGAATGACCTGGACCCGTTGTACAACACGGGGAAGAAGACGGTTTGTGTTGACAGGGTCCGCGCAGATACAGAGGCAAACCGGGGTGATGGGTGGTCTGGAAACTTCTATATATAGTCTAGTTGATTGCCAGGCATTTCTGGAGAGGAGCAAAGGGACGCCGGACAAGTTGTTGCAATGGGGCTTTTTACTTGAGAAAATGAGGCTTTGCCGGTATTCCGGTTCACCTAATTATGGAGTGAAGTGCTTCGAGCTAATCATGGAATGATTAGTGCAGAAAAACAGTAAAGGCTAGCTTAATTTAATTTTTAGCTGTGAGCTCAGTAAATTCAATTGATTTTGATACTTCTCTTGTTGACCACAGGCAAGCAATTTTTTTACACCGTTGTTTGAATCAAATTTAAATATATCTGTTTCCCGTCACTGCTTCTGTATAAAAGTGTTGTGACGAGCGTTAAAATAGTTTTTCGCATCTAAAGAGATGTTTCTTAGCAGTAGTTTGTTTTTCAGTAGCGAACATCACAGTTTATATCTAATACGTGTATGAATTTTCTGCATCAAAAAAAACTGTCGTCCACTCAGACTGACTCATTGGTGCTTTTCCTATATATGGTAAAAGCAAAGCTTTGTAATCACAACCATATTGCAAAAAGCTACTACACTAAGCTTAAAAACAATAAAAGCGGTAGCCACCTTAAAAAAACTCGGGAGTAGTATTCAACCCCTTTATACTAAAAATACAAAGCTTTATACTAAAAAAGAAACTGAAGCTTCTAAAGCGTCTCGCTTTGCGATTAGACAGAGAACAAGAGACACAGCTGGAGTTGGGCACTCTAACGCATCAATACACAGGTATTTTAAAAGTCACGGCCATTTTCAGAATATTAAATAAAACTTAAGTTCGTGAAAAGCAGACATGCTTCGCCTTCGTTAAGCTTTCAAGGAATGAACTATGTTATAGATCCTTTTCCCTTCCATATACGTCACCAATTTTCCCTTTCCTTGTTATTTACAAAAATTAATTTGGAAGTGCTTTGCACGAACCCTCAACAAATTCTTCATAATATGAAAAATACCAATAACAATTTGACCAAAATTAGTAAGCTCTTCATAAACTTCAACCAAAGTAATTGTCCTTACCCGTTAATAGAGCGGTCATACATCCTGAACGCACTTCACCGCTGTCATCAGCAAAATGATAATGTGACATATATATATATATATATAGCGAGCTTACAGCTAAAGCAGCATTTGTATCAAGTGAAAATCTGTTTGTTGTCTGACCCTATAATATATATAATACATATAGTTATTCTCCTGCAGGCCAAAAGTTTTGAACCAAGCTTAAGTGCTTTTCACAGACCTTACAAGTTATGCTATGCCGTTCAGTTTAGTTTTACGCGCTAGAACTGATATTTGTAGCGACTTTGCAAACCTCAAAAGCAATCCAGGCCAATTACCGCATGATTTTAGCTTGAACTTAGTTCTCTTTGTGACGTTTATGCCTTGCAAGGATGCCTCATCGTAATACAAGTTAATATCACTAAATATAAATGATATAACGCAAATTAGTTAAGCAGCTAGGCTTGAGGCATTGGTAAAACAACCTGCGTACACGATCAAAAAATTATTTCAAGCCAAGATATGTAGTAACAGTTAAGTTAATGTGTTTTTACAGTATGTAATATTTTTAGTATGTAATATTAATTTCAATATCGTAATAAGATTGGAATTCACGCAAGAAACATTTATTATTTTTCCATTCATTGTAGCGCCATGACTTTGCGGCAATTAAATGTTTGCAAAAATTGTTCAACGATCCTACACAATTATGTTAAAATAACCTCATGGCTGACCCTCAGGGCTCAGTCATTTTTCCCGGTAGCACTTTCTACTACAATTAAAATACTCTACTACTAATAAACTACTATACCATATACCATACTGAGGACTGTTCCGCGTTCCTATCAGTACGAACAATTCTATAGAAGGTGTTTATCTGTTTCTTTTAATGACTATATCTAAACGTCTCTGTTTAGTTCCTACCTATTGCAGACACATAAATACAAGAAGATTCATTGCGTATTAATGATCGCAGCTTGGACGGAAATTGATTTCTGATGGTACTGAAATCCTCACAAAAGCTCAATTAGGATAAGCTTTTGAATATATAAATGTTTTGTTAACTCATCTTTATCTATTAGATTAGTTATTATAGCTTTGTTATAAGAAAGCCTGTGCGTAGCTGGATAAATACGATATGTAGTCACCCTTATTGCGTCAAGAGAAAACAATTGCAGAAGATACCACAAAACTATAGCATTTCAAATTTCTAAGAAGAATAATTCGTTTACACAATTTTTGTGCAAAGCCCATTATTGGGAAATAGGCAACTCAATTGTAGAATTGCTCATGATTTTATTTATATCTAGTCCATTCGTTTAGACCACCGCTACCACTTTTCTTTCTGCTATATGTGTGCTGTTACCTAATAATAATAGTAAATTTAAATCTAACCAATATTCGCATACATCTTAAACAGCAGGATACACTTACAAGCTGGGAATCCCCTAAAATGACGTACCTCATATAAACGTAGTCATTTTAAGTAAGGCGTCTTGAAACCAATTATGTCCTTAACAATCACGTTTTGTCAGCCACCTTCAACGATGCGATACAATTAGTATTAAAACTAAATAATTTAAATACTAATTATTGCAGCATGACAGTAAAGAAATACTAGATCACAAAAATTACGTTCGCGAGCTGCAGACAGGAACATATATTTGGCCATGTGTCAATTTTTCACCCATAAAGTAATCTGCAATTTTACTTGCTGCTTCGTTAAAATTTAACTGGAAGTTTGAAGATATGTCTGCTTTCTAGGTCGAACGAAGACCATTCTAAACTTTATCCTTAAACGATCCTTAACAGCTCAAATAGGATATAAAGATGCTGCATCTCTTAAATGTCCAAAACGATGGCACAGCAGCTAAGGAATTGAGATCAGTTCCACGAAAAAAATCATTTAACAATAAATTTCTATCACATTTTGTCAATCTATAATAATTATAATAATTGCATATGCTCTGACAGAATTTATGCGACTAATAAGGGCAGTGTCACCTCGAAAAGTTATATTTGCGAATTTAATCAGCAAATGGCGTATAGCTTGTTTCTTGCATGCTCTATTTGAGACCTTATTGAGCGGTATGGCGCAAGGACCCAGTGGTAGTCAAATTTTAAGAGAATTCTTGGATATAAAGAAAACTTCATCAAAACGAACAGAGCTTTCAGACGACACTTATCGAAATGCCAATATATGCCTCGCGTTCTAATACCGTATTGCTCCTAATGCTTAGAAATAGTAGAGATGTGATGAAACTGCATAATAGTCTTGTACTATAGCTCCTTGTATTGACGTTTCAGTATATCCAGTAAACTAAGTGGTAACACATCCTGTCAGCTGTGTACAAGAAACTGTTCACTTGCGTATATGCAGTAAATGGTATGTATTCGCGTAATGGTGACACGGTGTTTCCTTCAGACTGTAGCCTAATTTTAGTGGAGCGTTTGACTTAGTTAGCTAAAATCAGGCGTGCCCTGAGCCCCTATCTTTTTCAAGTAAATGAAGACTGCTTCCGAATTTGTATATGTAAAGATATCTTGTCCACTCCTGTTTTACAGCTCTGTGTCGGTACCTAAATTACCTCTTCAAAACGTTTTCAAGTGAGAACCACAAACAAAAGTGCTTTTAAAGATGTTTTGACAGTTTTGATATACGTTTGACATAATGTTTCTCCTGTTTGTGGCCTAACTAAAAGCAATATTTATGTTTAATATATATATTTTTCAAAAGGACGAAAAGCCCGATAGCCTGCGCAAAGCAGAGGCAGCTATCTTGGTTAGCTGAACAATACACATAAGCCGGAGTCATAATCCAATCTACTGTGTGAAAAAATTTCACTAATATTACTCAAACCAAACTGAACTGTCATATTCGACACGTAGAAAAATCGCTGCAAAGAGAAAACAAATAATTCGTTTTTGTATGATAACTTTACATTTAGTATACCTGCATTGAGAGCCTAGATAGCTCTTGGTTTAGCTCCCTTGTTTCTCTCATGTAGTGTACTTTGTTCATTCCCCCAGCAGTCACAAAGACTAAGGGAAAAGCAACATCCCTCACAAAATATTCGCGCAGTCCTTTACTGAGATGTCACCCAACATATAAGTGGAAAGTTAGCTACATTACCGTGCCAAACCCTAGCGGTCCTCAGCATGCCTCAATATTTGTACTGAAAGATTTCAGTTTCTTTTAGAACGAAATAATTCAACTTCTTGGAACGAGCCAGCGTGGAAATTATGAAGATAAATATAGATGTCATTTATTCGATCAACCATATTAAATCTTCCACGATCTGTCGCTATGTACACAGTTTACATTCTATTCACATTCTACTAGTAGGTACTATACATATACACACCCAGCCTGATTTTATGGGTGCATAAATCACAATACGTTATATACAGTTGACCTAAAATGTTAAGCATTCATACAAGAGCAATAAGATCCATGCGATCGGCATCAGCTGCGAGGCTCTTTCGTACCATATATGATTGTGGTACCTATTGGGTCCATTAAAACAGTCATAGAAATGCTAACCGACTGTTTCTCTAGCTGTTCCTCGTACGATTTGCATTGGTTAATATATCAATGTCTTTATGTAACTAGAAATATTTTAAAAATTTCTATAATAATAAGGGATCACTGCTCAGATACCGAATATAAATCACGCCTATTTTTCTATATAATAGAACCAAATCGAGATACCCGTTTTCTGGCGACAATCCAAATTAAAGCATTAACAAGTCGATTGTTTCGTTAGTGTCATGCGCGCTTCAGGACTCAGCTCTCAAATATGTGACCTATATTATGATTTTCGTCATATGATGAAAAATAATATATGGATGTCGTATTTATAAATTAGTTAGGTTCGTCTATGCATCAGTTATGCATACTTTGAAAAGTCACAGAGCTGTTTTTTTCTGAATAACATTTTCTACACAATTAGCATAACCTATACACATAGTAACTTCTACACCGAAATTGGCTTATCAATGAGCCTGCATGAGCTTACGGTCGAGTAGTTCTACGATCATTCGCTTGCGGAAATAAGGCATATCTCCCTGAGTGAAATTTAGCCGCGCGTCACGCGAAGCATATTCGGCGTACTTACATGCGAACATGCCACAATCTGAGCCGTTGTTCTGTTGAGGCAGACCCTCGACGTTGACCAGTTTCCATTCGCTTATATCAAGCGGCTCTTTTTTCTTATCCTTCATTTCTGAAACTAGATAGTCGAGAAGATCCCGAAGACATCGGTCGTTTCGTTTTCCCATCGAGTCATAGTATTTGATTGTCGTATGCCTTATATCGATAACAGCCATACACCAGTGCATTCCTAGGTGAACAGGAACTAACACTATATCGTGACTAAACAGGTCGACTTTCTTTGTCCATCGACGCACTCCAGCGTAGCCCTTCTGCTCGAGAGTTGTTACAAAGAAGGTACTAAATGCATAAGTTTTGGGCAACGACGAGTTCTCTTTCGATCGTTCGACAATCATGGTCAAATAGAAATTAATCACGTTGTCGTTCAGCCAATTGAGACCGGTAAGGGTCTCAAGGTCGTTCCGAGTGATCTCTAACCGAAGTAGTTCGGAGAGGGTCTCGTTCCGCGGAGCGTTCAGCGCCGTAATGGCGCGTGCAAGCATCTCGTCCGTAAGAGGAACATCTTGTGGTCCCGGTTCCGCTATGGTCGCTGATTTCTTGCCATATCGAGCGCTCACCAAGGCCCGAGCCTTCTCCAACGCCTCAGTTTCGCGTCGGATACGACTGCAACCAAGCAGCACTTGGGCGCGCCAGTCAGCCACATCGAACGCTAAGGCTTGCTGCTGCTGCTTCTTCGTAGCAGGAAAAAGATATCCATCGTTGTCTTGATTTTCTATCCTAGGTAGGTCAAGTCTTGAGTGAAGGCTGTCTAAATTCACGCCCATAATGTCCAACAAGGATATCTTTGGTATCTCGTAATTGAGACGAGGCGTCGAGACCTGACGTCTGGCAATTTCCTGCAGAAGCGAAAAACAAACACGGCGTCGTCGATTAGATTCAGTCAATTATTCACAATGAGCCAATAGACATGGAAGATGACGTACCAAGGGGTGGGTAATGTAATGAATAATGAATGTGTTGCGTAGGTAAAGGTCTAGAATTTGTATTTATTTCTATGATGTTTCACTGATGGTATATTAGGAGTGATCGATCGACATTGAATCCTTTTCCCTTCCTTACCGAATCCCTTTTATTTATAGCTCTCACCACCTTCACTGGGCCATAATATTATCTCGTTTATTTTTGGCAGTGCTATGCCTTCTTGTGACGTCACAATGTTCAGCAATGATTCTTGTAAATAGAATCATAGTGAGTTGTAGTGTCACCTATTTTCCACATACTACTATTAACAGATATGGACATGTCAAACAAAACTAAGTGAGGTACATTTGTTCAATCAAAACATTTTATGTGATGATATCATATATAGATAAAGCACGCAGGGTGTCTCAAAAATGCATGCAATTGACAAGTCATAGCTTTCTGATTGCTCTTTATTTACAACGCATAATTAACTGAAAACGAGGGCTGAGATAAACCTTTGAACAAATAAAATATATTTCTAGTTTCTATTGCAAATACGAGCATGTAACAGAACTGTAAGGATCACATCGCAGGGAAGAAGATGTACTTATGAAATTCACAATCAATCATATGAAACCTAAGTTTTTTTAAAAAGGATAGGACTGTTCAAAATCCTCATCATTAGCTAATAGAGTGCAGCAAAATATCTTAAAAGTCTGTAAGACAACCAAACTACAAGGTTAGCGCCAGCAAATAAAGTGTCCATCGCATCTTAAAACGTCATAAATGAAAAGGTCACATTTTAACAGTGGTACATCCTCTCAGTGATGATAATACGGAAAATCCAAAATTATTTCGCTAGTAGTATTTAGAAAGGGCGAATAGAAGATACATTTTTTAGAAGAAGTTGTTTAAAACAATGAAGCTAGATTCAATCTGAATAGCTTTTTTTAACTAGGAGTTATCGTATCAAGCGCATTTCAAGCGAATAGGTTGGACCGTTATTTTTTTTTGACACTAAAGTGACTGGTGGCAATTCTTTGAATCCGTGGTACAAATATGTGTTTGTATATTATCGTAGTGATGTAAGATCATGTATAGTTGAGAATCTTTCAAATAAATGGATTAAGCAAATAGTGGTCAAAAAGGATCTTGCCTATTGTTAAAGTCTTTTTTTTGCGAGGCCACCCCAAGATTAGGTTTAGCCAGAATCCCGACAACACTGTTTTGAAATTTTAAAACGGCAACTGAGCACCATAACACTAAACATGCGTTTAGTAACCGCAACAGTAATATATGTAGCAGAAGGGAAAGTTGCACACTTTATATAGCCACTTTCGAAGCTTGAATATTAATTATAAATATATAATTTGTGAATCAATTGTAAATCAATATTAAAGTGGCACTCATTTATGTATGCATTTTGTCAGCCATAGTATACACATATATGTAAATGAGGCAGAAGTTTCTTGATAATGGATAAGTCTTCATTGCAATTATGTTGAGTATCAAGATATATACAAATTATTTAATTATTTATTTTAAAGAAATTAGTGTGTTGCACGTTCGTTTCGATTAACTCGTAATTATGTCTTTTGAGTTCCGTTAGAATAAGATATCGTGCAGTTCAGCTTAATCACTAAAACTGTATCTATTAGCTTCGAACCGGAAGGATAGATAACGTTCGACTAAAACAAGAAATTGTATGCTAGAGGATACCTAAACACTGGTCAATTGAATCTTACCTTACCGTAATATGATACCCTGTAATACGCTTACCTTGTAACGTAGAATTATAGAAATAAAGAAATGATATTCATTGAGCGAAATCCACTCTTCCTTGCAATAATTTGTGTATTTCTTGCTACTTAAACGTATAAGAAGTCCTTTGATTTACTGAAGCTATGTAAAGCTCTTACCTCGTCTAGTATTTTGCTATATGAAGAGGCGCTGATCCATTTTACGCCGCTGCTGGCTAGATCGAGGGCAGCGATGTTTTCGTTGAACACTGAAATCGTACATAGCGCCAATCATTAAAAGAGTTAGTTAGATTTAAATGTTAGACATGATTCGAGAAGTGGCGGACTTAGAACTTCGAAAAAATAGGATAACAGTTAAGTTAATGGTGTTTCGACTGAAGCAACTTTCGTTTTTCTTAATTTTCTTAAATTTTCTTAATAAATTTTCTCTAATTTTAAGTTTCTGTTCACGCACATTTGCTACTCCCCTTCGCATTCTCTTCTAAAAAAATATCAAAGTGAACTTATTATAACTCGTTAACTCTTTGGCGTGATGTTTCTGTTTGATTTACGCATTTCTGTACATTTGTATAGCCATTGATGGCGTGGGTAACTCCCGTTCAGGTAGACTTCAAGACAAAAAGAGGAGACCAAATTGTACTTCACTTCAGTTCCTACAACTTGGAGTTTCTTAATGCTGTCCATCATCAGCAGAACAAGAAGCCATCAAACAGAAAAGCGTGGGATCAAGTGTGGACGGGGAACCAAGTGGACCTCACATTTCATTTTTACGTTATCTATCTGGATAATGGTTCGCACATAGTGAAGTTACCTCTTTGGGGTCTTTTTGTGTAACACGAAGCATAACTTGAAAACTACATATAGACCCAAGAAAATTATTATTTCTAATTTGCTGGTTTTTAGAGGATCAAATTCGTTGGAATGCGAGTTCAATGTCCTGTACTTACTCAAGCTTATTAGAAGAAAGATCTAAATTATATAAACGACAACCCTCGTTATTTAGCCACTTTTCAATGAAATTTTTACGAAAATCCTTTTTATTTTTATACGGCTAAAAAAATTATTGATAAGAATATTGAGACCGGAAGCAAAGTGGACAGAATTTGCAGTCCATCATTAAACTTCGATCTAGTTATGATTTTAATTTGTTTTATTTCTAAATTGCTTCCACGAATTTATCTTTGTACATTTACAGGTGAGTCTAGATAGTAGAGTGATTTGTCTAGAACATCGCAACACACATTCTTGTCTTTCCTGTACTTATCTCCATTTCGCAAAAGACCGTCATCGACGGATGTGCTGTTACTAGAAGACGCGCGAACTTTAAGGAAGCTAGTTCCGCATAGAGTACATGCCACAGAAGCAAATTCGGATTCTTCTCAATTCTAACGAACTTAAGTACGTCACTCGTTATAAACTCAGTTATTTATTCAGAGTTTCTATAGAAACCAACTATAAGGACTTGGGGTGTATAACTAAAAAAAAAGATGCAAAACTGATTTGAGTTAAAACAACAACTAGTGTCGTAGTGTGGCTTATGGACGTCAAATATTCTAACGCAGGAAAACCTTAAGTGTGCTTATTCAATTTGATTTTTAAGCTGTCCGTCTTTGTAAAGGGTAGGGACAAAGAGCACATTTCAAAGCTTCTACCGGTTTTCACTTTAAGAGCAAGTGCCAAATAGTAGAACACTCATAGCCATATTATCGGTAGCCTAAAAGTCCAGCTAGAATCTGAACAAAGCACTTCCAGATTACTGCCAGCGGTTTCGCAAAACTAAAAATATTAAACAGATGCTCACTTTGACCCCACTCTTCCCTGCTCGCTGTGAATGATGTGTGTTAAATCGGGTATCGTTTGATCGTTGCTACAACAATAATGAACTGTACACTTATAAGTCAAGAAAATTACACCACCAAACTGCAGACGCTATTTAGACGTTTACGACAATGCAGTGGTAACGCTATTTCTCTCTGTCCCCTTTGCTCATTGTTATAACGCGAAAATGTATGTTTAGCTATGGAAACATTGAAGCTATATTGACTCCTCTCACAGACACTCTCAGCTGATGCCAAGAACGACTCCCTACATAGATCTACTTGTAAACAAAGTATTCGGTCAGACGGCCAAATCCTAGACAAATATTTTTACCTGAAGATAGCTTGCCTCAGCAGTCAGAACTTTTGCACGCATACAGACCTCTAACAAATGGCGGACAAGATAATTTTAAAGAAACATTTTGAAAACACATCCCATATCCGGCACACGCACCACCAGAGCTAATAGGCTTAGTAGGCTTTCCCATGTTCGAGGTTTCAACATACGGTCATTGTCTTTCCGTGCAAAAATATTCTTAAAAAATTATTACTAGAAGATATTACTTTTTGAACTTTGTCACTCATAACAAGGTAACACCTTATGATAACAAACATAGAACAACTTGACGTCACAAGTTACTATAAGTAAAAATTAACTGCACACATTTTTTGATTATCGAGGATACATTTCATTCCAGCTAAGTATCGAACAATACCGCAAACATGCAGTGCACTCGAAAATGCCCGTCGTTTTTATGGATCATTGCCAAACTTAAATTCACTCACTGCTTTTTTACTTGAAGACTGTGACATTTAGAGCGACAGTGGCGAATGCAATTTTCACCTAGATACAGGATCTAATACAATGGCCTTTATTTTTGGAACAGTGAACAACACTATCATCAGGATATTGTTAGAGTAATCCAGCATCATTTCTAAGACTGTACAGCGACCTTTTAAATGAATATTATTCTAATTTATTTTGACAATGCGGTATGTTGAGTGTCATATAATATTAAAAAAAGAATTTAAACTCTACTGCATTTTGATATGCCGCACTTATAATATTCCCACAGTTCTTAAACTAATACTTACATACATAATTTCAAGTGAAAGTTTGCTCAGATAAATCTTTTATTTAGGAAATCAAAAGTAAAGCAAATGTTTTACTTATTTTGCTTTTTGCTCATGCTAGACCGAGCCGCAATAAACCTAAATTACAATACAATATATCGATGATCATTTACGGTATAATTTACGCAAGGGCAGTGCGTATAATGGAATTACCAGTAAATTAACGGAATACATATTTGCTGCAGTACTCGCACAGTGAAGTTCTAAGCCGATGTTGCCCCAGCTATTGGTGCAATATCATCAGTATGTTTCTAACCATTTGGTTACCCTTTCATAGATACTTTAGCTTACTAGGCAAAGCTTACTGTAGTTTAGATTTAACCGTATTTTATTGTTATTTTAAAAAACACACCGGAGTGATAACCAACTCAGGATTTTGTTATGTTGTTTTACGTAGTGTGAAGCATATAATGCGACAGTAGTACATTAATTTTTTATTAGAACTGAATATTGCCCACAGCACGTTACTTAAAAGCATCCTTATCCTCTAACTTAAAAGTACTTATCCTCTAATAATTCATTTCTTAATTTTTTTTCTATTATTAAACTTTTCTACCTACAAAACGTACTCATTGCTGACGGTGAAACGAGGATATTTCCGGTTGCTACGAGGAAAATCCAACGGACTTCAGTAAACTAACAAAAAACTAATACTTAAATAATATTAATAATAATAATTTAATACTAATTAAACTATCAACTGATACACTACAGTCACCTAAAAATCGATTTCACAAGCACAACTTCGAACACCGCCAGAGACATGAAGCGGATGTGTACCTTGATACCGTTTATTGTTGTAGGGAAACCGAAACCACTCGCCAAATTTGAACGCTGACGCCCGCCAACGCCCGCCAACTTAATATCTCTATTGGCATGTAAGTTATGTTCATTGCAGACAATATTGGCCATTGCCTCTTCGGAACGACTGTAAATTACTGGCTCAGATACAATGACAAGTTACTGGTTCAATCAATGACATGCCACTTAGCTTGTGTAAATAAGAAAATCTACATTAGGTTAGTAGTCTATTCATTCTAACTGATAACCACAATTAATGATAATAACTATACTGAAACAAGTTCCATGAGCAGCTTATAAGTAACTTTAACTAGTTTTATGTAAGTGGCGACATCCGTGGGTTACATATATAGCTGTTTTTTGTGGCGCATATATATTATTAATCCCATTGTGCAGTTCGTAAGCCTCGTCTGTAATGCTTTACGATGGCTCGACTGCATACGTGTCTTGACGGAGGCGGAACCAAAGCTGCTTCTGTGATACAGCATACTGTGGCGACAGCGTAGCTTTTTGACAACACTGCTCGAATGCCTTGGCTTATGTCAGGCCGTAATTTTTGAGAAACGATTTTGCTACCCATATTCTACGGGAAGTACGGTTTTAAGGCGCACCCTCTGGTGTTTCTGAGACAGAATTACTTTAAAATGATGCAGTATGCGGAACGGTTATTTGATTCTAATCAGCGTTGGCCTAAGGTTCTGTTCTTCTATTTGGGGACAGCTCTACAACCTTTTGGGCTCTTAGTTCCCGATCGTGGTATTATAACTTAAATATCTCGTACAGTGTTATTCTGCTGAACCTTAGCATCCTGTGATCTAAGATAGGGCATCGTTTCTTTATTAGAAAAGTATGAACAATAATGTGACAGTAAAGGAATGTGTTACCATTTGGGCTAGGGACTCGTTTAGGTCCCTTACATCGATAAAACAGGTCATCAGATCGCAGATCTGAAATGCCTTGAGATCACCTATTGTTTGCCAGTTATGCCTTTACGGGAAAAAAACATTTTTAAGGAAGGCGATTTCAAAAAGAAAATCATCAGAAAAAGGTATAGAAAATCGACATCAGCGTCGTCAGTTCAATGTATGAGTTAGGCTCACATTGTAATTGATTCACATAATTTATTATAGATGCCATAAACAAGAAGCGGAGCATTGATGCAATGTCCTTATTTGTATTTTGCATTACAAATGACTGGATAAAAGACTCTACATTGGTCTGTTGTGCTGTAGTGATACAGGTAATGTTATCGTGTTATATATATAGTCTACATTGACAACTTCCAACCACACAAAGAGCTTGTGTTTATGTGTATAATGCATTTACTTTGAACGCTTTAGTACTAGATGTCCATATGTGCAAGAACAATTATAAACGTACACCTGGCTCTTAAATTTAGCTGTTAGTAACTAGGGTTACCTGCAATGTGGTTATATAAGAAAGAAAAATATTCTTTGTTTTTTTTTGTCACACACACATTGTTGATCATTTAAGCATTCATTTTAATAGCAAAATCGCTTAATTACCTTAAAAGCTTAACTTATCTATACGTGTTACAAAGTAAGTAATTGAAAACTACCTATTTTTTCGTTAATGCAAGCAGCGCATTGGGCGGGCTTTAGACAATGGTGCCCAACTAAACGTAAACTAGTTGAAGCTTTAATAACCATACGAATGTGAAAGACAATGTAATCTCATTCATTGTTGGGGCACATCGCGTTACAGGGGCCAGTAAAGCGCTTATCTGGAGTGATATTTTTATGGGTGATTTCCTTAAAACGATTGCGTCAATCCAAGGCTTTGACAGGGAACTACAAACAAATTTGCTGGATCAAGGGTCAGTTGCGGAATTAATAGTTTTTCGCTCAATGACAAAACGGGCCACCTCAAGTAGAATCGCTTAACTACACAGTGTGTCATCATCGACGTAGTTAAGAAAAGTTCATAACGCAAAACAGTTGTAGTAAAATCTGAAAACAAGGCATACAAAAACAGGAATGAATAAGGACTCTTTTAAGATATTGTTACACGGTGCTTAGCCTACTAATTAATGTTCAGCATTAGTTTCAGCTTTAAGTATAGCAAATGAAATATTCCTGACTAGTTTAAAGCTGAATATAATTGAAATATCCTTAGCTTAACTTTTTCCATCTTAATTCTAAATATAAAGACTTTCTCTAGACAAAAGAAATTCAGGCTTTTTAGTGCGAAATTTGCTTATACGTGTTATTTAGTCCTAAGCTACTGTTAAAGTGGTTAGTCACACAGATACACTACAAAAGATTGGAAGAGGGGACATTTTTGTTTGTCTCTGTCGTGCTTACTAAGCTAGTCATAAGTGTCATAAAGTACCTACTATCAAAAACTTTATCCTATCAAGGAGCGTAATGTAGGTCTATTCATCTTTGTGTTCAAATGCTTCGGAGACAACGTAACAGAGTTACTGTGATTTTATTATGTCCAGTCCTTTAGCTAAGGTAGAATTTTTCTGTGCCCGTGCTGCAGTGCAAGTGAAGTACTCAAGTATAGTATAAAACTGCTTTCGGACAACTGTAAAAAAATCCAGAGCACAAAACGAAGCTAGCGAGTAACCTAGTGAACAATAATAGCCCTAGAGCTGTAATGCATGTTTGAAAATATAGAAGTACTATACCTAGGACGATGCAGTAGACTGCCCAAAGAGAGCCCAACGGAGTTCAATAGCCAGACCTAGCGAGTGTCGTTTTGAAGTCATCGGCTCGATAAAAGTCTACATCGTGAATTAAAGTTCGCTCTTGACTGCCAACCGGAACACCGAGTCACGCTTACTAAGTAATTAACTTTTATGGCTATAAGTGCCTATAGGATTCGCCCCAAGTATACTATTAGACATCGTTTACAGCTGAAAAATTTCTGTTGTCAGCAAGAAACCGGCGGAGGCAACGGCAAAGAGCAGAGTCATTGAGACGAATTTGGCCACTGATTTTAGGTGCACGTGGTGGCCTGGGTTCGGATACGGGCATAGACACACTCCGTTCGTCTCGTACCGCGTACCAATTATCTGATGCTATGCCTAGCCGTTGTTCGAACGTAAGACTTGAAATACTTAGAAATAATGTTACCGTGTGCAATCATGTTCGTAGCTTTATACCTTCAACACCTCAGGATTTAATATAACGAAAGCCTTTTTTTCAGAAAGCTTAATGCTTAATCGTAATAATTCTTGTCAAGATTTGGGATTAGTGTAACCTTGACGTTTTTCAAACAGGTAATTTATAAACTGAACGAGATAAAGAAACGCTCCTCAGGGTAGATAAATACAGCAAAGCCCGTAGATTTCAGGTGGGCAATTATATTTCAGAGGTATGTGAACTGTGATGACCTAACCGTAATAATCACCTATCCACAGGCTAGATAAGCGGGAAACGTATAATCGGAAAAAATCGCCGCCTTATACATTTAAATAGTTGCTCGAACCACAGCCCAGCGCAATAATGAGGCCATGAAAGAAAGAATTTTGTGTGTTATACCCTCGAGTGCCATCAAGGGCCTGCAACAAAAAGAAATGAGCTCCCTTTAGCGCATTGTTTAGTGTCCCCTTAATAGTGCAGTGGTAACGTTTTTCATTAATAAATTCAGGGACACTTAAGATGCTGTGCGTTCGAAACCGGGTGTAGACAGACTTTCGGCCTTGAGCGATCAGCCGTGTATAGTAACGTCCAGCGGCAGTATCAAGTGTTGCGGGACGGCAGAAATTCATCATGCACTTTCCACAAAATACATAGCACCACTTTCCGTTTTATTTACGCATTATCATATATATCGCATTATAACGTGACCTATTTGTTACCCGCGATCAATCGTTTTAAACATTTCTAGGTACCGTTGCAGATAAAAATACAATCGTGTAAATTATTTGGGGTAAATTTTTATGGCATTCATGTCAGACTCTGTTTGTAGCCAGCTTTTTTCAAATAATTTGAAACTATTCAGTGGTGGATGTTTAGTTATTTGGCGATATCGTGGCTCCTTACGTATCGATCTTACTTAATTTCACAATCATTTCACTTGTTTTGTAACTGGTCGATCATACGAAGAGCATCCTTCACATTAAACTTTCCATATCGAAAGCATCAAACAGAACCATCCATGGGCCATTTATTCCGATAACGTATCCTGACCATACACAGCACAAATTTTTTTTCGGGTTTGCACAACATTTGTGCCTTAAAATTCCGTAACAGGATTTTAAAATAGGACAAATTTTTACATCGAAATTTTGTTCATCTTCAGGGCGTTCTATTTTAAATCTGAATAAACGTATCTTAACAAGTCCAGCCCAGTCGTAACTCCGAAATTACCCTAATGCTAACCCAATGCGACTCATATTACTTTGCTGTGCTTAAAACAATCTAGCCAGAAAAACGGTCGATACATCTCAACAACTCAATGGATATTTTTGATTTTAAGTGGTCCCATCTTACCGTATATAATAAGCTCATTCTGTCACTATATTATGGCAATCAAACTTTTAGCAACAGCGTAGATTCATCCTAGTAATCTTGATAACAAGTTAATCCGTCCGTCTAATATAAATTTTTATAATATTATATTTATAAATAAAAATTTAATTCAAAACATAATGAAAATTTCAAAGCTGATTCGGCTGTACACAAAACGATGCAGAAGTCCACTCAGTTAGGTTTGCTCTAAGATCATTTGAACACAGGGTTTACAGGATCCGTGGGGTGCAAATTGTCGCTCATCATGTCGTTTATACGAGACAAATGGTAAATGGCTATCAAGGTCTTTGATTTGTATGTCCTAAGCTTATGAAAGCCATCGACATGGAATCTCGTCATAGGCTTCTTAATAAGTCCACAAGATTCTTGTAGACTTATCGAGTCTTCCCAGGCTAACCCTTCTAGGCCTTGCAACCTTGCTACTGCAACGAAGTGCTTC